CCTGCTCTAGCTAGAGTCACGCATCCACGATCTCCTTGTGCCGTGCCCTCAGCTACTCCATCCGCAGGCGAGGCGGGCCCCTGCATCTTCCTCGACCTCGTCGTCAGAGTCATCCGTAGGAGTAGTCTCTCCCTCGTGGATGCTTTCGACACGCCCTTTGGGGGTACCTGCCATGAACCATTCTCGCGAGGGGTGATGGCTCCCCCTGCTAGAGTTAGAGTCAGAGATCGCCTGTGAACCTCCCGCGAGAAGGTCGTGGAAAGATTCCACGCCGTAATCCATCATACCCATGAGTTCATCATCCGTGGGGGACAGGTGCGTGCGCTGTGTCGTGAGGTGATCAAAGGTCCTCGCGGCGTTGGGCATACCGAACGGGAATGCTGTCGGGGCGTTCTGGGCGAGGTATTCTAGGGAGAGCGGTTCCCCTCCAGTGACCTACGTCATGACGTTGGTGAAGGAGAAGCCGAGGCAGCGTAGACCCTCTCGAGACGGTCGGGGTCCCAGGAAGGCGTCGAGCTGGCGCTCTAGCCTCTCGTAGTCGAAGCCGAGGAGCCACTACACCATAACCTACTTTTCCCTACAGTTATGTGTTGGTAAAACTAGCCTTTTGACAACACATAAAGTGTCGGCAATGAAATACCTTTTTTAGGTCACCTTAACTGTCGCCAATAATAGTGTAAGGCTACATGTTATGTGTCGGCGTTTGTCCTTCCAACCTAAAAAGTGTCGGCGAAAGTTTTAAGACAAACAAACTATCGTCGTAGCCTAAGCAAACCACTGTCAAAGTGTCGTCGAAGGCTATGCGCCGAAGCAAATAAGATGATAGTGTGGGGTGGGACACCACGCGCCAAAAGAGAGGTGTGCGCAGGAGCTAAAATGCTAAATGTTCAGCCCACTAAAGCCTCAGAACCCATCCCCATTCGTCTCTCCTACTCATGCGACTCAGGGGGGAAAAACCGGCAGCCAGCAGAGACCGACGCCGCCGGCCACCAGTAGAGACCGACGCCGCTGGCCACCAGCAGATCTCCTCCGCGGGCTAGGCGCCGTCAGTAGCCACTGCCGCCGTCTCCCAATCCCGCCATAGCCGAACTCCCTGGCTGGAGCCCCATAGCCCCCCCAGTCCCTAGGCCCCCGTCGCCCTAGCCCGCCGCCTCCCAAACCCACCGCCCCCAAGCCCGCCGCCTCCCAAGCCCGCTGTCCCCAAGCCCGCCGTCGCCCTAGCCCACCGCCGGCCAGCAAAAAGCGGTGCCGCCGCCGCATCCCCATCCGATCTGGGGTGTCAGCTCCTCCTTCCGCAGGCTTGGATTCTCCACCATCGGCGACCGACCCAGGTATGGACAATTCCTCCCATGTTCTTGAATGAGGAACGATTCTAGCTGTGTGTTCTTGATCCTTTCCCGTCGGTTTGAGCGTGCTGCTGTGGCGGCCGTGACCAGCACCGGAGATCTTGGAACGAATCCAACTCCAAGGTGAGATATTCGATCTGCCGTCAAATACGCCCTCTTTAGTATGTAGTTTAGCTCCAAAAGATGTGCACTCTCTGTTAGATGTGCTTTGTGTTTTGCAAATGTCTATTTGCAGGAATTATGCTGAAGATTGAATGCATTGCAGAATGGATTTTTTGAAATATTGCCGGTGCTATATAACATGGTATGCTAGTGGAGGGTCCAAAAGTCAAACCTTTTTTCACAATTTGATGGGATCTGGGTAGTTGATTTTATATGAAGTTTTTCATTAGTTTATCTTGCTCTGTACATGTAGTGATTGGACATATTGCAGTCTTCCTTGAAATGTCTGTTTGCGAGGCGAGGTTAATTATAATTAGTCAAGAGTCTTATTTGCAATTGTTTGAGTAATGCAATGATTAGTTATAAGGTATGATTCTGAAAATCCTAAGAACTGGTACAAAATACCAGCATTACAATCTAGTATAGACCACTGTCTTATCAGTACTGCTGCATATTTTTTCATCAGTTAAATAGCTCATCATCGATTCAAGCACCTCGGCCGCACTCGATTTGATTTCTCTGTTTCTTCAGGTGAAAAGATGTCATTTTGACTAGTTCAGTAAATTCTTGTACATGGCATTCTTGTTTTGATTAGTGGTTTGGTCTGGCCTATGTACTGCAGCTTTGTTGGATCTATGCTAGTGTTTTGATTATATATATATATATATAGTTCTATGGCCACAGAATAAGTTATTCTATGGTCAGCCGTAGAACAGCAGTTCTATATATATATATATATATATATATATATATATATATATATATATATATATATATATATATATATATATATATGTGTGTGTGTGTGTGTGTGTGTGTGTGTGTGTTAGCCTCTTACAACTTCCTGTCGCAATTAGTTGCTCAGATCTGCTTTAATCTGAAACTGTCCCTTGCTGCCGGCAGCATTGCCGTCCTTAAGTCACAAGAGTACGCCCTTAGGAAATTTCAGATTTAATCATAAGTATGTCCTTCTTTGATACGCTGCAGCACAACTCTAAAATTGCCTTACGAAATTTCAGTTATCTATGCTGCAGTAGCTTTGTATTTTAACAGGCTTACAACAATGCTGTGATTTTGGGAGGGTGGGTAGTCTGTGTCAGGTTTAGGATATGTCCAATCTGGAGCCTATCTGTCAGGAGCTAAATCCTTTGAAAACTACCATAAGTGCTTGCTCTATGTTATTCATTGTTATTAAAATGACTTTTTCTGGCGAGTGAATAGTCGACATCTCGCTCATGAGTTATTGATATTTGTACTACTTTCACTCTCTTTTTTTTTCAATTGCTTTTGAAGTCAATTCCTTTATCTTCTATTCTTGAATTGCTCAGCGATCGTTTGAGATGAGTTACGAGTAAAACTGCTACTGAAATAAGCGATTGATCCTACTACTTTTACAAAGGCACCATGGACGGCAAGAACTACAGCGTAGTCTAAAGATGAGCGATGAGTTTGCTTGTCGCACTACTCGCAGCGTAGCAACAAGCTCAAACTCGCACATGTGTCCTGGGTTCAAATAGCATAGTGGATCTGGGTTGGTGTGGTTGGAACAATCCAATTGGTGGGCTGGGTTGGTTTTTAAGGTTGAGATCATCACTAATGGTTGGGGGTGGGTTCAGATCGGATTTCACACCATTACCAGCTTTACATACATTATAAGGATCAATACATATTTAGAGCTTGTTATGAACTTATGATATGATTCACACCCTCCAATTCATAGATACTGTTTGCTGAAAAATCTGAACTTTCTCACAAGGTTCTAGTTTGTTTAACACAACAAATCCCAAACTTTTAGATTGTGGTTGACATGATAGAATATGAATCAAATGTGATAACTTTCCTCTTTAAAAAGCTGTCACAAAGTAATACTGATCCATGTGTCTATACTGTTTAATGTGGTAGCTGCCCTTAGCTTATTGGTTGCTCCTCGGTTCAATAGAAGGTATGACTCAAATTGTTTGAGTAATGCAATGATTAGTTATAAGGTATGACTCTGAAAATCCTAAGAACTGGTACAAAATACCAGCGTTACAATCTAGTATAGACCACGGTCTTATTAGTACTGCTGCATATTTTTTTCTTCAGTTAAATAGCTCATCATCAGATTCAGAAGCACTCAGTTCGCACTCAGTTTTAGTTTCCTCTGTTTCTTCAGGTGAAATGATGTCATTTTAACTAGTTCAGTAAATTCTTGTACATGGCATTCTTGTTTTGATTAGTGGTTTGGTCTGGCATTCTTGTACATGGCTTGCCACTAACACCCTTCCCTAGATTCTTGTTTTGATTAGTGATTTGGTCTGGCATTCTTGTTTTGATTAGTGGTTTGGTCTGGAATCCTCGTCCATGTCTTTTTGCATAGGGTGATCGTGATTCTGCAAATTGCATTGGGTTCTTTGTTTACCTGTTGATGATGTGTGAGAAAATCTCCTAGTGCTCTAGTCTCTAATCCCATATTAATGATTGATGAAACCTATTTCCTGGAGATTATATCATGTGGGTGGATTAACATAAAATTTCACTCTACCATATTTCAGTCTTCCATAGAACATGCAGTCCCTATCATGTGTGCTTTTGGGTAGATCATGACAAATGCTTTACTTCAAGTTAAAATAGCGCATCAGATTACTTGGTTCATAGGAGATGCATGCTGGCTTAATATACTTAAGTTTACACATAGCAGATAAAATATTTCAGAGGAAGATAAGCTTTCGGAACGAAGCTTTGCAATTTGTAGATGGTTCTCAGTTTCCTCTGGATCTAAATATTCTGATTATTTTGAAATTTTGCATACTGTGCATTTCATATTAGGAGAAAATGGTGTTGGGTTATTCCTCAGGAATGCTAAAAATACTCTTGTTTTCCGCGTTGATGTGTTGGAAGCTGAACTAATTTCTATGAAGAAGGTACTCTTGTTTTCTTAAAGAAAAAAAAGTAGCTGTAAGCTGATTACCAGGTTGACCCTAGTTTGGTATCTTAAAATTTAAGTATATGTTGTAGCTTCATTGTGAGGTAATAATATTTTTCTCAGCCATGTTAGTTACATCCAAGAATTTGGTTGTTCACTAAATTTCTTGATAATTTGTTGTATCAGAACCATACGTGAAATCCTAGATTGATACATGGAGTTCATGAAACAATTAATAGAAAATGCTACTTTTCCTGTACTGACATTTGTTTCTCTCGTGAGCAGGTCTTGTATGAGACATTGATTCGGCAGGATGAGATGAGCTGCTGCATATATTGACCAACAATGATGTACCAAATTTTGTGTAAGTAACGGCCGTTCAGATAGTTTGCCTTTTTCGTTTCAAGAGCATACCATTTTAATGCTTCCCTCTTCTAGTCAATGGTACCAAGTACATAATCTCATATTGTGTCTATCCATCATTTGCAGTGGCGAAGTTCGCTTCTAAGGGCTGTTTGGAGGGGCTCGATGCCACGGCTCCAAGCAATCTGTAATAGAGTATTGTGGCGGAGCCGCGGGACCTTAGAATGCTGGCTCCTCCGGCTCCTCCGCTTCTGAGTTGTATTTTGCGAAGCTCGAGCCAGCCAGCTCCGCATTACAGTGTTGTTCAAGTGTGCTGCTCAGCAGGAGCTGGAGCCGGCGAGAGCGGGTGCCAAACAGCCTCGAAGTACTGGAGTACCTGCCACCTATTTTCTTCTCTTTGGAGATGGCATGCTGCTATTGTGGACACAGTATACTTGCAAATATCTTGGTATTTTTTTTCAAATATCTTCGTATTTTGTTGCAGTGTAAAGAATTACAATTTTTAGAAATAGATAGGATTGACGAGCAGGGTGTATGTATGGAAGATCTAATATATTATTTATACAAAAATCAAGTGAATTTGTTCAATGTGATGCCTTCTATATGAGCAAAAGTGGATTTGTCAAATTATTTTAATTGTAATTATATCTATGTAGTTTTGCCGACAATTTTTTTTTGGCAGGGTATGGTTTGTAAAATACCTTGGAAATGGTTTGGCCAACATACAAACTGTCGGGAAAGGTTTTAACTGTCGGCGTATGTCTTAACTGTCGGCAAAAGGTTAACTGTCGGCAAAGGTTTCAACTGTCGGCGTAGGTAGACCGTTTGCCTACACATAAAGTGTCGGGGATTCTGTTAACTGTTGGCAAAAGTTTCGCCGACGGCTTCTAGCGCGACTGTTTCTAAACTGTCGGCAAAACTTTTCGTTGGAGGTTATCTGTCGGCAAAGGTGCCCTTTGCCTACAATAGAAAGTGTCGACAAAAGTATGTTGTGTTATAGTGAGCTGGTCGCTCCCGGGGGCATGGGCCTCCGGGGCATGCATCTATAGCTCCTTGAAGGCCTCGACGATTGCGTCGAGACCGACGGAGTGAAGAGGTTGGACGGGGGTAGGAGCCCGCGCCAACTCTCCCTCCGTGGTGATGAAGAAGTCTAGGCTCCCGAAACGCACGTGCGCACCCGAGACCTAGCTGACGCCGTGGCTAGCCATCTGTGGCCTGCTGTGGACGACGAGACGCGCAAAAGGCCCCTACCTGGTGTGCCAACCGTCGGTGTTTCGAACCACCGACGAGTAAATTTGTGATTTGCGCGTGTGGCCCGGATGTCTCTGGTGAAAAGGTCAAAAGGTGTTGAGTCTAGATGAGCTCGTTTTGCCGTGCCCCCTGTGGGGCGTCCTGCTTCCCCTTTTATAGGTGATGGGGAAGACGCAGATTACACGAGGGAAAGAGAGAGAGAGAAAGAGAGGGGAAGAAGGCCTCCGGGTCGCAGCGTCCTTCCTCTCCCTTATGCGGGTCCTGCCGGTCTTGTAGATGGTGACGGGGATAGCTCTACGTCGTGAGCCTATTCACCACTAGCGCTACACCCGGGCGTCGTCAGTCGGTCATGGCGCTCCATTCCGTCCCGGCGGGCGGCATGGTCAACAGGTGCTCCTGTCAGGAACCGTACGGGGGTTAGGCGGCACAGCGTCGGCACGCCTGACACTGTTGGCAACGCGAGCCCTTAGGCGTGGCCCGTTGTGGCCGTGGGTCACGTCAAGGCGCGCCTACTCCCTTTCTGGTATCAGAAGTTTGACCCTGGGTCCACACCTTTGGACCCGTAGTGGTTGGAGGCGGTACGGACCCCGTCGGGTGAAGCGGAATCCCCCTCGAGGAGTCTGGCGAAACAAAATCCCCGCGCCCTCGGGGTCGGGCGAGGCGGAGCCCACGCCCTCAGGGTCGGGCTGAGACTTTAAATACGCCTCTGACCATCCGGGCGGATTATCGTTACGCTGCCATTAGCTCCCTACTTCCGGGTATCCCTAATACTGATACCCGATAAGAAGGAATACTCTGTTGAAGCTTCCACTGCTGCATTGCTGATTTCTATTGTTTCAGAGAGGAAGTATCAGAAAGAAGTGAAGTTTCTTCCTGAAAAATATCAATCTTTCATGGAACCTAGAGATGATTGAGACCTTTTTCCTGGTTTTACTGTGTTTACTAGACATTACAGATTGCTAACTGAGAGTACATGGTCTCTTGTCCTGTAAATGTTATATTAGCAAGGTGCCACCTCTTTCAGCCTTTCATAAGTTGGATTGAATATAAACTCCAGATAAGAAATCATTTCTATCTGTTCTTGGTATTGCCACAAAAAAGTATTTTTACACTAAGACTTGCAGGTGGGTGCAGAAAGGAAGCTCCTTGATAACGCTGTTGACAGAACTAGTGTACAGTATGATAGCTGGATGGATGAAGAGACATCGTTCTGGATGGACTGGAATCACATGAATAGCAATTTGCAGTATCGCTTGCTAATGCAGGACCTTCAGGAATTGGAGACGAGTTTGGCTGGTAACGACTTGAAGATGCTGGAGAACGATATCTTTGTGCGCATTGAGCAGCTTGGAGCTCTGAGATCGTTTACTGCTTCTATGACCAGGGTGTCGCTAAAAGTGAATCCACCAAGACTCAGAAAATCTCGGAAGGCGAGTAGTAGCCAGTTTATATCGGAGTGGAAAAGTCACCCAAGACGAAGAAGGAGCATTGTGTGTGAGCAATCAGCACTGTTAGAGACCATCAAGGTACTATATTATGTGAAACAGAATTCTTATCTTTATTGGTGAATTAGAATTACATTACAGCAGAGAATGCATGTCATATTCTTCAGGCTCTTGGTTCGGTTTAACTGATGTTTCTATATATACTATATGTTTGTTGACCTGCACTCAGGAACGTGCAAGCCTTGAGAAGATGAGGGAGAAGATGGTGATGGAGGGGCAGGAGGTGAGCTACCACAGGTGGGCAGAGGGAGCTGGTGTGGACTGTGGACGAGGCAGAGCTGATGAGCAGGCTGCAGGCAGGATACTGCTGCCGAGAGAGGCTGGTGGTGACCACCGAGTGGCTCGTCAGGTACATTGCGAGAACATACATCGGGATGGGGACGGCCTTGGACGATCTGCTTCAGGTTCATATATTACATTGCATCTTCATCAGTCACCATTAATTCTGACGTTTGTCTCTTATTTAACATAGTAAATGAATACATATATATGCATATGCATCGACACTTGTCCGATCATTAATTAGATTATGTGCAAGCGACTGATGGATTTGCTCGGTTATTGTTGTGGAAATGGCATCGACTGCTGCAGACTGGGAAGATGGGTGTGCTTGATGGCGCCGGGAAGTTTGACAGCCGGAAGGGGTGCAGGTTCTACACGTACGTCAAGTACTGGATTAGGAAAGGGATGCTCGCTCTCCTGGCTGAAAACTCAGGAGTCACCCTGCTGCCTGTAAGCCTCTCTCTGTCTCTCTCTGCAACCATCTGCTAGGAAACCTTTTGCCACTGGACTGATCACAATGCATGTTTCCAACGTCAGGCTGGCGCGCAAGTGCTCTTGCAATCTCGCTCTACTCGGAGATCGGGATCAGACAGCACACAAAGTTGTCCGGCGCAGCACACAAAGATCGGGATCAACCTCTACCATCACTGCATCATGCTTCGCAGTACACGTTTGACAATGAGTGGTTTGTGTCTTGTTTTGTTCAGGAGGTGATCCCAGACGAGGCGGCGTCTCCGGAGGCTCCGAACGAGGCCGCGCTGTTCCGGGGCCAGCTGAGGGAGAGACTGTTGCTGGTGCTGGGTAGGCTGCCCGGCGCGGGAAGGCCAAGTGCTGAGGCTGCGGCACAGGCTGGAGGACGGCCGGTGCAGGTCGCTGGAGGAGATCGGCGGCATCTACCGCGTCTCCAAGGAGTGGATCAGGAAGATCGAGAAGCCGGCCATGGCAATTGGCAAAGCTCAGGGATGACGAGGACGTGTGTCGCAATCTCCACGACTTCGTCTGCCACTTCTGATTAAGAGACTTTTCCTGTGTGCCATTATAAAAGATTGTAATCCTCTATGTGTCCCTGAAAAAATTTAGCGATCTTCAGCGCCACTACTTCAATTTTTTCGTGTCATCCATGCCACTTCCGTCAGTTTGAACTCTAACGCCGTCAAACTGCAGGTGTGAAAAGACGAAAATGCCCTTAAGTTCAAATATGTTATTAATTTTTTTTGAGCATCTTAATGACTTTAAATGAAAAAACTCAAAACTAGAAAGTTGTAGATCTCGTCGAGATCTATAATTTTCATATAAATTTTTTTTTCATTTAATTCCGCAAAAAAAATAATATGATTTTTCTAAGATATATTAATCATATCAAATCATATTTTTTTTGTGGAATTAAATGAAAAAAAAAATTATATGAAAATTATAGATCTCGACGAGATCTACAACTTTCTAGTTTTGAGTTTTTTCATTTGAAGTCGTTAAATGCTCAAAAAAAATTAATAACATATTTGAACTTAAGGGCATTTTCGTCTTTTCACACTTGCAGTTTGACGGCGTTAACGTCCAAACTGACGGAAGTGGCATGGAGGACACGAAAAAGTTAAAGTAATGGCGCTGAAAACCGCTGAATTTTTTCAGAAGCACACAGAGGATTACGATCTTTTATAATGGCACACAGATAAAAATCTCTCTGATTAACTAGGACGCTGCGCGCGGACCTTCTCTGTGCACCCATGGAGATTATACGGGTTGTCGATTCTATTCTACCATCATAGGATCTCTCTCTCTCTAAACCTGAGCCAATATCCCGCCACTGATTGGGCCACGTCGCCTCCAATTTCTCGGCCGTCAGATCATGATCGAACCGTCCAACTGCAGGCAAATAGGTTGCACTTTTCTTCGTTCTTCCCCAAGGCCCGACGCGAAGAAAAAGAAACGCTTACTGCCTTATTCCTGTCCTCGTGTGGCGGCCCACGAACAGCCCGCCGCACCGCACTGGCTGCACCCAGTTCCCACGGAGAAGCCGATCCGGCGAAAAAAGCAGTTCGTACTTCGTAGCCTGTAGCCAGGTAGCCCGCTTGGAACTCCGCCGTCGCCGGCGCGCTCGAGCGGCGGAGCAGCTGCGGCTGATGGCCGCACATGGACCGATGCACGGGGCTGGCGCATCCACCTCTCTGGCCCACTGCCAGATATAATACTGCCCCCGTGCCTCAAACTACATGGCGGCCGGTGATTCCATGCCAGGAGACGTAGTAGGCACGACCGCGCGATGCCAGGGATCACGCTCGCTGCTTGTTCGACAAAATGCCAAGCACGCCATGGGGAGTCCCGCCGGCCTGCTGCGCGTCGCAGTGTCTACTGTCTCTCGGCTCGAGGCAAGCCACGGCGCAACTGTGGAAAGTGCCCAACTGCCCGCCTTGCCATCATGCAAATGCCACGGCGTGCAGTGTGCATGTTTCCATGCTGTGGCCCTCCTGTACGCGCCGCGGATAGCCATAGCGAGCTATGCACTGCACATGCTGTGCTGCAGCCTTGTATGGCTGGCGTATCGCAGCCCCGCGACCGGATCGCCAGGTCTCGTGCTTGCCATCACAGATTACCTAGCTATTGCCTATTGGGTATAGATTACCTAGCTATTGCCTATTGGGTATAGATTACCTAGCTATTGCCTATTGGGTATGGCACATTTATTTATTTTTCAGCAAAGCCTTTCAGCAAAGCCAGGTCTCGTGCTTGCCATCACACATGTTTTTAGAACACTTCTGTAGCTGCAACCAATAGATCGTTTCACTGAAAAGGTTAGCTAAAAAATAGCATTTTCCATTTCTCGATTTAATCTGATTAGCTCCCATAATTGTTACTTTTACTGATACCACTTCCGGCTTTACAGAAGCTCAAACTTGCTCCAGCTTATAAATGCAAAACAAGGCTGTTCATTCACTCGGATTGATTGGAGGTAAGTTCATTCTGCACCTACACGCACTTAAGCAAATATTAGTTATATAACATATTAATCACATTGATCAACCATTTGCTGTGATTAACAGGTACAAGACACCACATTCCTTGTACTGATGAAACCTACAGAATTGAGTTTATGTTCCTCCAAAACATAGGAACACAATTGATTGGAAAAGAGTTTAGCAGGATCTTTCCCTATATTTAGAACCTGTTATAAAATGACATTTATGTAGATTAATAGATTTATCATAAACTTTGATCGTAGACCTCTTGCTCCATCTATGACATAGACATAGGAAATTCGACCAGCGGTGCAGCAGGTGGTCGTGGCCTCGCAGGATAGGTGGCCACCGAGCAATGCGGCGTTCAGCAATGACTGTGCCGGTGCGAGGTGGAAGATGAGATGGAGTGGAAGCGCTGTTGATGCCGGCCATGGTTCTATCCAAGCCGGCCCGGGTCCAGCTTTGATTCTGCTGCCCGACCAGGCACATTGATGTCCTCTTTGCATCTAATTAATTATTGGCCTCAAGCAAATTTGTTTCTGGCTTCCAAAGAAAGAATGAAACAAACAAGGAAGCATGTTATTGCGTTTATAGCAGTATGAATTGCTAAGATTTTTCCTTGGATAATATTTTTCATACTGATAACAGCCTCTACTATCTTTACTACAACCACCACAACAACTATGTTCACAATGTTTGTAGCTCCAAAATATATTCCCCTTCTGTTGCCTTGCATGTATATACTGTAACCTACTACACTCACAATGTTCCAAGCCCTGTTGCCATATGAATGGGATTAAGATATAAGAAGAAATGCAAGGCAATGTATGAATTGAGCGTTGATGAGCAATGATAATACTTAACCTTCTCTGAATTGCATGCCATTAAGCAATTTGAGCTAACCCCACCACCTCTTCAATTGTGCAGCAAGAGGTAAGAAGGCTCGTTTTTTCAAACTATTGTCAGCGTTCTTTTGCTCCACAGCTAATATTAAATATTTTTCACTTTTTCATATTTGAAACTATTGTCAGGTCCAAAATTTTCTAATATGGGGAAAATGCTTACATTTTGAGGTCAGAGATCGGTATTAGGTACTGCTTTTCCATGCAACTACATAGATGCCCTTTTGGGGCTATAGCAATAGCATCAATCAAAATAGGAGAAAGATGATTCCCTTTTTTTCTAAACTTAGACGACAAAGAGTCAAAGACTATTTATTCTAATCTGACATAGAATGGCAATTGGTAGATCGATTACAATACTAATTTACACCTTACATTGGCTTTGCCTACTCCATGGATGTCTCCTGGCTGATTGGCCATGAAATGAATTACATGGATATTTTTTGTTTCCATACGGTTGACAAGTCATTAACATGGTATTTTTCTTAAGAACGTTGTCAACATACAAAGGTAGCAATGCTACAATAGACCTCCAAGTTTCTCTTTTTATTTTCTCTGGTTCTGTGTTGATCTTCTATGTAAGATGTACTACCTGTAGTCTTATTTTAAATGCATAGGTCATTACAGAATATGTAGAACCCAGCCACTTTACAAATTTTCATGATAATTGGTTTACAACATATCACCCCTCTTATAAAATACTACTAATCTCTGTTAAACTCAACCATCTAGCATATATATGCAGTTTTTTACATGTGCACTAACTTTCAAGCTGACATTAAAGTTGCTCCACGAACTTTTGCTATCAGGATTAAATAATTGGAGAAAGCAATCTAGGCAGCTATGGGTACTCTAATTTAATCTAACCCTGTCCTCTATTCAAGGTTTAAGTAGGATAGAGTCTGCAAATTGCAGAGCAAGAGATGAGAGTGCTTATTTTGCTTCACAGTCAACATTTCTTTCGGCCATTCGCAGCGATCCCTGGCTGGCCCGCTCCAAGAAGGGCGCGGCAAAGCCGCACCGATGTTTCTAGTATAAACCAAAAGCACGCACTACGTGGTCAAGACAACATTGCCATAGGATGGGTTGTCCTCAGGTAGACAGATCATTCAGTGACTGGTTCAAGAAATTATTCAGTGATAGGTTCAGAAAATTCTGAGATAGCATGATTTGTAGTTAATTTACATATGCGGAGCGTGTTTTCAATGCTCAGGTAAATGGAGCATCTAACTTTATTTATAGAAGGAAGAAAGTCTGAATCTATAGACATATAGTGTTTTTGGACATGCTGAGATGGTATTCAGCAAAAGTGACACAATATTTGCCTGCTGAACCTTGTCATCGTGAAGACTGAATACTGCAATAAGAGCCTTCATTACTAATGTCTTCAGTAGTAACTATATCAGTAATTTCCTTCAAGATAAGAATGAATGCAGTAGGCAGCCTTCGTTTAGTTGCTCAACTACAGGTATATAAATAAAAGGCATGCTGTTGTGCAGGTATATGAATTGGTTGCTGAAGGTGACCTGAGAAGCAGTAGTCTTCAGTTTGTGCCTGGTGCTGTAGTGCGTGGCCTGACATCTGCATGGCAATCTTTCTATACGCAATATGTTATAGTTACAATTTCTAGAAATATAAATGTTTTTAGGAACAATAGTCATGACAATGGCATATTGGCATTGTATTACCTGGATGTATCAATTATTTCATATACAGTTTCAGGAAATTGTAGCTTGGCCATGTATACAGTTTTCAGGAAATTTTATGACTGCTTGCGACAGTACGTATATCAGACTGAAATCACTGAATGAAGGGGCTATATTGTATAGTATATCACTCGCACCACGTCTACCGTGTAAAGTATACACACAAACTGTACAGGTATACATGATACGAGTATAAACTTGTGATCTATCACGGTTACAATGACGCTGGGAACGTTGGGAAATGACGATCTTATTAATAAGTAATCATATATTTATTAGATATAAAATCGACCAATGGTGTCGTGGTGTAGTTGGTTATCACGTCAGTCTAACACACTGAAGGTCTCCGGTTCGAACCCGGGCGACGCCATTCTTTTTTTTTTTTTTTTTTTGCCGTTTTGGTTGCCTTGGCCCCTTGATGGTTGACCAGACTCAAGCCAGTGAAGTCAAGTCAACCCCATCTCGCTGGGGCTGAGAGTTTGCTTCAGAAACCTTGAAAAACCAAAGATCTGCAGGATCTCTCGTCCAGTCATCCTTTGCCCCTTCCGCGCGAGGGTCTCTCATCTCATCCTTCTTCTCCAGGTCAGTACTTTCTTGAAGCCGGCTGTTCCCCTCTCATTTCAAAGCAACCATGTTGTTATCTGCATATGTTTTGTTTGGGAAATAGGAATAAGGATTTCTCTGTCATACCGATTACCGACTGATATCCATAGCATAAATCATCAGAAATGGACACTGCTAGTTCTAGCAAGCCGGAGACGAGCCTTCTTCTGAATTCGCTGCCCAAGGAACTCCCAGCGGAGTTCTTGAAAGACATTACAGATGGGTTCTCCCCTGAGAGACAACTTGGCAGAGGCGCATTCGGAACAGTTTATAGGGTATGATACGAATGATTCACAGCCTTCACTGTTTTCTGTGTTTCCACAAGATGATGAAAACATTCCACATTTTCCTCATGAATATAAATTAAACCCTCCCCTTCCCTACGCAGGGGACTCTGAAAGATGGAACAGAGATTGCTGTGAAGAAGATCGGCAGCGGCTCGCTGGTGACGCCTGACAAACAGTTTCAGAATGAGGTTGGGAACCTTATGGCGGTCCGGCATGACAACATCGTCAAGCTAGTTGGCTATTGCTACGAGATGAAGAAAACCGTGGTGGAGCACAACGGGAGATATATTATCGCGGACACAGTGGACAGCTTACTCTGCTACGAATACATGAGAATGGGAAGCCTTGAGAACCATATTTTTGGTATGATACTGCATTTCGAGATGGCACTTTTCATTCTCTTTTTGTCTATTTCTATGTTCCTTCCACTACTTGGAGCTTGGGGTTCACTTGTTATAGTTGCCCCTCAACTTGTGCACTGAAATAAATAAAATGACATAAGTGCAAATATATAAAAAAAACAATTTTTGTTACGCAAGAAGTTCAGATCAACGTTCAAGAAATATCGCTTATTTCATTGTTATATATGATACATAACTTATAAGTTTAGAGGTCATTATCCCAGAATACTGACATAACTCTGCTTCTTTTCTTTAGCTCCATCAACACTGGATTGGGCAACACGCTTCAAGATAATTAAGGGAATCTGCCAAGGTTTACATTTCCTACACAAGGGAATGGATCAGCCTATGGTCCATATGGATCTTAAGCCTGATAATATATTGCTTGATGAGAACATGGCCCCGAAAATTGCAGATTTCGGTCTCTCAAGGCTCTTTGGCGCAGAACAAACGCGGATGCACACACTACATGTTGTGGGGGCACAGTAAGATATATAAAGAAAATATTCTTCATGTACAATAAACTGCATTTTCATTTCTCTACTAATAATGCTTGTTAACTTTTCTTAATGCTAACACCTTCCAGTGGATACATGGCTCCGGAATATTTATACAGAGGTGAGATCTCAACCCAGTTAGACATATATAGTTTGGGCCTACTGATCATTGAGATCACCACGGGAGAGAGAAATCCGCGAAGCAAAGATGACATGTCTGCCAGGAACTTGGTTGAGAATGTAAGGCGTAAGATAACACAACTTGATTTGAGACTAGAAAATCCCCTTTTTTTTGTAACATCAACTAATATATCTTATTCCAATTTTGTAGGTACGTCAAAGTTGGACAATCGAGCACATTGTATCCAAGTACTCTTCACTAGATGCCAACTCCCTCCAGCAATTGAAAGTGTGCATTGAAATTGGGCTACAGTGTGTGGAAATAGATCGGAAGAAGAGACCCCCTATAGAGCACATTGTTAACAAGCTGGATGGAAGACTGTAGGATAAACAGTGGAAGAGGTATGAACACTGGGCATGCAGATGCTCTCTATTTATATGCTGTAGTTTCATAATGATATTAGAATAATATTTTTTACCTTTTTTTTTTGCTCTAATAACACCAACATTTACAAAAGCCATTCATTTTACAGTTCACTTCTGATGGTCCTAATAATAACAAACTATATGAAATTTCAGGTCCGCTGTTTCCACCATGTGTGCATGAATAAAATATCCTCTGCTGTTGCTAGAATGTATGGAGTTTCCAAGTTTGGGCAGAGCTCCTGCCGCCCGTTTCAAAAAAAAAGAATGTATGGAGTTTCTTTCAGAAATATGATCCTTTTGGTGTCAAGTCATTGTGGGAACTGCTCAGTTTTCTGAAATCATTTCTTTGAATATCTTTTGTGTGTATGTAATCGAGACAGTTGTGTTGCGGCACAATCTATTGACTTTGGTTTTGCCAATCTATGTTATTTTCCTCTTAACCATTCATTCATTCTTTTTTTGAGAGGTCTTAACCATATCATTCGGCGTCCCTTCGTGGTGAGGCCCAGAGGCCCATGACGGGATGAGATTTGGCCCATGGCGTGGCCCAAACATGCGAGGAATGTTTTTAATATAATTCATTCATAGGTATAACTAGCAAATTGTAACTGCCTTAACCACAGGACTAAACATATCTTCATAATCAATGCCATATCTTTGTTTAAACCTATCAATTTTGCCATCTGACCGCCTCTTTATTTTATACACCCATTTACAATCAATCGCATTCTTTCCTTTCTAAGGTGGAACTAAATGCCAAGTTTTATTTCTATGCAATGCATCAAACTCCACATCCATATCATGCTTCCAATTTTTATCAACTAAGGCATGTTCCAAAGTGGGTGATTCCTCAGAAGTGGTAGCTAACTGACCATATCGAATAGTGCCATCAGTATATGCTTTGGGTTTTCGGATACCTTGCTGGAGGCGGGTGACAGGCCGGTGTGATGGATTCGGAGGCACAACAAGCGCCACAAGATCAGACGCGCTGAGGATCCCGGCGGCAGCACCTGTGGGCTCGATGCAGGAGATCCTGCGCCAGGCACTCCCGGCGTAGAAGATCCGGGTGGCCAGGCGTCGAAGTAGGTGCGCTAGCCGCTTGTCCCCCGTCGTCGAAGCCGGGACAGATGGCGCGCACGGAGAGGCGCCGCCGAGTCCCGACGCAGAAACATGAGGCGCGGTCGGGGGTGGCTGATCCGAAGCTGATTTGGCAGGGCAATCAGCAGCAGTGGTAGGCGAATCGCCATGGGTATCTGTGCGTGTCCCTGCGAAAAAAGGAAAGCCACCGGGAGCATAAAATCGTGGCCGTTTAACCCCGGATTTGGGTCAATCCGCGCCGAATTTTCAATAGGACCTGCATGCTCAAGAGAAGGGTTAGTGCGCAGGGAACCATTACCAACATAAGTAGAAGAATTGTCGTCCCCAAAATCGATGAAGGGTTTTGAAGGGTGGGTGGGAGGAGTAGAATTTCAGATTTGAGCCGAGCGCCTGCATTGGAATGAAGGTGAGCGAAAGGGTAGACATTTTCATCGATAACTACATCTGGAGAGATATAAACTCGGCCTTTAGAAATATCTAGACACTTGCATATTACTGTATCCAAGAAACACACACTGTTTGGAGCGAAATTGCAGCTTGTCGGGAATTGTATGGACGCAAAGTAGACCAGCATGCACATTCAAAGGTTCTAAGTGTAAGATAATTAGGTTTACGATGAAACAGGCGCTCAAGAGGCGGTGTCTGGTCATGTATAACCTTGCTAGGAAGCCGATTAATTAAATAGGTGGCAGTGATGAATGCCTCATCCCAAAATTTGAGAGGCATAGAGACATGCGCAAGCAGGGATAGACCAACCTCTACTATGTGACGATGTTTTTGTTCAGCAGAGCCATTTTGCTGATGCACATAGGGACAGGACACATGATGGGAAATTTCTATACGTTGGAAGAAAGTATTTAATTTCTAATATTCACCTCCCCAATCCATTTGGATAGCTAGGATTTTCTTATTAAATTGCCTTTCTACCATAGATTGGAAATCATGAAATTTTTGGAACACTTCAGATTTGTGGCGTAGCAAATAAATCCATGTAAATTTACTGAAGTCATCTATGAAGCTAACGTAATAATCATTATTGCCGACAGAAGTGGGTGCCGGCCCCATACATCCGAAAACACAAGTTCAAAGGGACTCGATGACATGCTTGTTGATCTAGGATAGGGTAATTGATGAATTTTACCCTTCTGACACGCATCACACACAATGTCTTTATTGGACAAACAAAGGGAATTTGACTCTTGCTAAGGACCTGACGAACTACTACAGAAGACGTGTGACCGAGTCGGCTATGCCACCTAGATGATGAAGACTTGATGGCGCCATACATCACTTTATTGGAAGGAGACCTAGATGACTTCAGCGGGTAGAGACCTCCCTCGCAGTTCCCTCTAAGGAGCGTTTTCTTCGTGGCATGGTCCTTAATCAAGAAATAATTTGGATGATATTCAATAAAAGCATGATTATCGGATGTAAGACGATGAACAGAAGCAAGGTTTTTGCTAGCCTCAGGAACATAAAGAACATTATTTAAGATGAGATTTCGATCTGGGGTACGAACAAAACTTTGACCTGTTTGGTTGATTCTCATACCTGCGCCGTTGGTGGTATGCACCTGATCGGTGTCGTGGTATTTGTCTCTCACGGTGAGTTTCTCCAATTCACCCGTGATGTGGTCGGTAGCACCAGTATCGGTGTACCAGTTTGTATCCACGCCATAGGAGGTGGTAGCAGTCGACATCGAGTGCTGCTGCAGAGGCCCCGTGAACGAGGCATCGAAGCGCTTGAAGCAGCATATGGCGGTGTGGCCTTCTTTGCCATAGACCTGGTAGGTGGGACGGTCGGCGTTGGAGTTCTGTTGAGGATGACTGCCGTTGCCGCAGCCGCGTCCACGACCACGCCCGCGACCTCCACCGCGGTTGAAACCACCACGGCCTCCACGTGTAGCACTGTTGGCCGAAGATCCGGAATTGTCGCCGTGTAGCAGATTCATTCTATGTTCCCAACTCACCAATTGGGTGTAGAGTTCGCCAAGGGTCAGCGGCTCCACGCGCGCTGACACAGAGGAGACGACTGGATTAAAATCCACGTCGAGGCCCGCAAGGATGTAGGACACAATCTCTTCGTCCTCTAGCTTCTTTCCCACAGACGCCATGTCATCCGCGAGCGACTTCATCTTGCTGAAGAATTCAGCGATGGTGGAGGAGCCCTTCTACGTGGTGGCTAGGGCCATGCGCGTGTTGATGTTGCGCTCGCGAGACTACGATGCAGTCATATCGTGGATGACCTTCCAAATCTCGGCGGAGGTGGTGCAGGTGGAGATCTGCACCATGATTTCCCTAGAGATGGAGGACATCAAGAAGTTGAAGATTTGCTGGTCCTTCGCAACCCAGGTCTCATACTCCAGATTGGAGATGAGTTCGTCGGGCTTCTAGCAGACTTTGGTATATGCTTGGGCGGCGGCACCGTCTCAGGGTCGAGGTAGTGAGCAAGCTGAACACCGCGCATGGCTGGGAGGACTTGCATATTCCAGAGCGGGAAATTGTTCTTCCCCAGCTTCTCCGAGACTGGGCAGCCGATCAGGGAGAACACAACAGGTTGCGCGGAGGAGGAAGCCATTGATGAGTTTGTGGAAAAGACCGACTCTGATACCATGTGAAAATGGTGTTAACATGATGCCTTCTCAGGCTCACGGCTCTGTGTTAATATAGCTAGGAAGAGCCCCTAGCATGGCATTACAACTTGTTCAACAAGTAGATACATCTCATCTCTATCTCTAATTACTTACAATCCATGATTACAACAAACTAAGGGTTATCCTATGGATCCACAACAACCTGACTTGGAAAACAATCACCACGTGTTCACCACACCGGATATTCATGGACTGGGAACCGGATATTTCAACATTCTCTTCCACGGAACATAACTCAAAGAAGCTCTCCTACATTTCTGCTCCTCTGTTGTTCAGAATTGTGGAAG